AAAAGACCTGTCCCTCTCCTGCAACATCTGAAAGGTAATCGGTCTTATGCTTTGTTAGGAAGAAGTTAATCTTAATAATACAGCATCATAAACATACCTAGGGAACTGTTTATATCAAATTCTCGTTTAGTGGATGCAGAACTAACTTCAGATGGAAGATGAGTTTAACATTCCCTCTGACTTTCTTGTGTTTTCTTAGACACAACTCTTGGTTCCCACCTCCTTTCCTGTGGAGGTTGCTGTCAGATTAGAGAAGGGTGGCACCTTAATGGAATTAGGTGTATGCATGATTTAGAGAAGACCAGATAACAAAACTTTGCCTTTCTATTGTTGACCTATGAATAATAGAAATTATATGTGTCATTAAAACATTTCTGAATTTCACTTCTTGTCAACTGAGCAAAAAGCATAGGAAAGGGGCAAACAGAAGAGGACAAAAATTGCATTCTTTTTATAGAATTGATTGCCTTAGTAGGATACAGTCTTGGGGGCCCAGAGAATTAATTATATGCACAGTAATTCAACTCACCAGGACTTTTTTTTTTTTGGTCAAAATAAGAGTTGAACATTGAGCCAAAGTTCTTACTCCCTTTTTAGGAATTTAGAAATGCACAGGTTGCCTACTTACAGAGGAGAGAAATTGTAGCATGTGGTTACAAAATATTTGCACTTAAAAATTATCCTCTCATGGAATAGGAGAAACCCTAGGTCTCCTTGGCTCAGGCCGAAATTTTCTGAATAGAGACCCGGAAACACAACAAATCAAAGAAAGGTTGGACAAATGGGATTGCATGAAAGTGCAGAGCTTCTGCATGGCAAAGGACATAGCTAGCAAGACCAATAGAAAGCCAATAGAAAGGATTGGGAGAAGATCTTCACTAGCCACACAACGGACAAGGGTCTCATATCTAAAATATACCTGGAACTCAAAAAATTAAATCCCCCTACAACAAATCTTCAAAGAAACAACTGCCCAATAAATAAGTGGGCTAAAGTCTTAAAGAGAAACTTCTCTGAAGAGGAAAGAAGGATGGCCAATAGACACATGAAGAAATGCTCAACCTCTCTAGCCATAAAAGAAATGCAAATCAAAACAACATTGAGATACTACCTCACCCCAGTTAGCATGGCTAATGGTCAAGAACTCTAATAACAACAGATGCTGGAGGGGATGTGGACAGAAGGGAACCTTACTGCATTGTTGGTGGGAGTGTAAACTTGTTCAACCACTTTGAAAGTAGTATGGAGGTTTCTCAAAAGACTCCACATAGAGCTCCCCTATGACCCAGCAATCCCACTTTTGGGCATTTACCCAAATGTTCACAAACAAGACTACACTAAAGCTACCAGCATGACTATGTTTGTTGCAGCCTTATTTACCATAGCTAAGATATGGAACCAACCCAGATGCCCCTCAGTAGATGAGTGGATCAAGAAAATGTGGTATATATACACAATGGAATTCTATGCCTCCATCAGAAAGAATGACATTGCCCCATTTGTTAGGAAATGGAAAGACTTGGAAAAAATTATATTAAGTGAAGTAAGCCAGGCCCAAAGAAACATAGGTCCCATGGTTTCCCTTATTTGCAATAACTGTATATGTCTAAATCAAGCAGAAAAGGTCAGTTAAGTTCATGTTAGGGAAATGAACCCTAAGATATATATTCAATTTTTTCTTTCATGCGATTGTTTCTAACACATTGATTATTTCTTTGTTGCTTTGTATGTCCCTCCCCCATGGTATAACCCCTGCTTTCACTGTATGTGATGTTGTTACAATTTGTGGAGGGGAAGGGAAAAAACAAATCGTTTAAATAGGGATACAGGTGGACCCATTGCAACAATGAGACTTACAAGTCGTTAGGTCAAAAACCAACTTTACAACTTTGGTAGGAGGGGGGAGGAGGGTTGGGTAGGGGGGTGAGGGGAGAATGGGATGGGAAGGGGAAACAAAGGAGGAGGCTACAATGCTTGATAAGAAATGTACTCATTATCTTGCCCATGTAATTGTAACCCCTCTGTACAGTATTTTCACAATAAAAAATAAATAAATTAAAAAATTGTCCTCTCAGACACAAACCCAAACGAATATGTTAACTACTAGCAACATAGAATTTGTCTTAAGGAAGTTGGCACTGCCGACCACAAGTTTCGAGTTGTGTAATAAAAAGCAATTTTTTGTTTTTGTTTCCTAAATCTTGTTGAGTATATTCTTGGGATTATATAAATGACACCACATGTTTTCTCCAAGTTCCTAATAAATAGCTCCCTTCTGTTAAACAGCAAGGCTGACAAGAGTTTAGATTTCCCAACAGAGCCTCTACTTTCTGAGGCCAAGATTATGTCCGCATATATATTCACATCTCACTTGAAAAATCAGATGAAAGCTCTCCATAGTTAACTCTAGAAATGATTTGTCCACTGAGGGTTAGGGATTTCTTAAATCTCTCTAAACACAGGTTATGGGTTTCTGGTTAAGAATTCCTTTGAAAGCTTTTCCACTCCAGGAGTTTGTTATTTCCACGAAGACAGGTCCAGCACCAGCCCTACCCAGCCAACAGGAGAGGAGATGCTCCACCAAGATGGTCCAGCAGCTACTGCTTCCGTAGCCAAAGCCACGCCTCTTTGTTGCCTGGCAACGGGAGTCCTCAGCGCAAACGTGGTGCGGAAATCCTTGTTCTAATTGCCCTCCCTGCTGGGCGTTGGAAACCGCTGGGCCTGGAGCTGGTTGTCCCCCATTCTTGGGGGGCGGGGCTTCAGGTCTAGGTCCCCAGTCCCCAGTGAGGGGCTTGTCAGAACATCATGCAGGTGAGGAGTCCACATACATGGACATGCAGGGGCAGCCTACAGTGTTACAGGGGCGAGGGGAGGGGACTAACACTTGTTCTTGGTGAGTTTTGCATGTGTCTCTGGATATTTTGGGGTTATAGCCCTAAGAGAATGTCATTTCTTCCATTTTCAAGACTTCCCGGTTGTCATTGGAGGAAACTTCCTGTGTTGTTTAGAATTGCCTTTCACATCTGAATCCTCGAAATCCTACAGCTATACTATTTCCAATTTGAGAAAGCATAATTTTATTTCACTCTTTCACTGTCTGAGACTCAGAGATGATCCCCTAAAGCGTTGAGTGTGACTTAGAAGGGCCAGCTCTCCCTGGAGTCCTTCCTGCCTGCCTTAGCACAAAACCTGTTAGATACCCTGTTTATTGTTCTCCTGTCTCTAAAGCATCCTCCTTGAGCAGAACCTTTGTAAACTTCATTCACTTCTCTTCTCTCATCGTCTGTTCTTTTGTTTTAAGCAGAATAAAATTCTCACTTTGTAATTTACAGAAACAGCTTTTGCCCTTCTGCTCTTCCAAATCAAATGAACTGGGATTTTTTTTTTCATACTTAATTCTCATAGTTGTGTATACTATACAATTTAATAGGATATTTAAAACAAATTATTTACCACTATGGTGGTAATCTTTTCATGTTAATAATAGACTCCTTGCAAGCATAGTTTATACAGTGTATAAAATTCTACAGCTTTGTCCTGGTTTGCATCTGCTTGTGAAGAGTTCGGCAGAAATGTAATTGAGAGTGAAGGCAACATCACTAACCTTTCTTTCTGCCTTGGTTTGTTAATTGACGTACTCAACAGCCTGTTACACAGTTCTTGTATTTTAGATATGATCCTGTCCAAAGAGTTGACACAGAGGGAATAATGAAATAAAGCTATGACATGTAAAATGCTCTGATTATTTGAGGAATGGACTTTTTTTTTTTTTGTCAGTCATGGGCTCTGAACTCTGGGCCTGGGCACTGTCCCTCAACTCTTCAGCTCAAGGCTAGGACTCAACCATTTGAGCCACAGAGCCACTTCCAGCTCTTTCTGCTTATGTGGTGCTGAGGAATCAAGCCTAGAGCCTCATGCATGCAAGGCAAGCACTTTACCACTGAGCCACCTTCCCACCCTTGAGGAATGGATTTTTAAGTAAAATTCCATAGCTATTATAAAAACAAAGAACAGTAGAATACAGAGTTTTGACTGTACAATTTGTTCCATTGTTCCCAAGGAATATCAAGAAAGAATGTTTAAACAGGAAAAAAGTGACCATAGATAGAATTCAGGGAAGGTTGTCTCACTGCTTAGTGGACAGGAATAAAACCTGACCCCAAAAACTTTTGGCTCAAGACAGCTTTCATAGGATTGTACAACTGACAACTTCCCATTTTTGGAAGGTCTAGCAAACTTCAGACTGAATTGGATATAAATTATATTCTATAGTGCTCCAGTACATGGAAGAAATAAGCAGAAATCCCTTGTGGAGAAAGATATCTTTATCTCAGATCTTCAGGCATTTCTATCAAGCAAGAGGAATTCAATCAAAAGTAACCCCCAATTACATAAAGAAAACTAGCAGACTTTTCCACAGAGTTCTCTCATATAATTAAGTTCTATCTTTCCCTGAAAGCATCAGAGAATAGACAGCAGGCTAGAGAAACATTAGTTAAAAGATGGTCAGTAACTTGTGGGAAAACTATAAATAAAAGACAATGACTATTCTTAAGGCTAACCTTCAGAGAAAGGAAGTTATGGTTAGGACAGCAAATGAAGAGTAGAAATACTACTAGGCTCTTCTAAGACTTACTCCCTGAGTGAGAGTCCTGTGAATCTATATAGCTAAACATAGTCCCAAGATCATTAAACCATATTTGTGAATGATGTTTATTTATTTTGCCCTCTGTAGATCAGTGAATTGTCCATGACTTATAAACTTCTTGATATTTGTTAAGTATGTTCTAGATTTATTTTTATTAAATTTCTCAGTGTGACATCAAGGGCAGAAGATGTGCCTTGTTTCTCAAAGTAGGTAATCCCCCTAGTGCTGGGAAGTGTGTCACTGTTTTATTCTTAAAGCACAGTTAATGAAAAACTGTATACTGAAGTGCAATTATACAAGTACACATTAAAGTGCACAGATATGCCAATAGGTTTGCTTTCTCTTTGTGCAGGATCCAAATGAAGATACAGAATGGAATGAGATTCTAAGAGATTTTGGCATTCTTCCTCCAAAAGAAGAACCAAAAGATGAAATTGAAGAAATGGTTTTACGTTTACAAAAAGAAGCAATGGGTATATTTATGTATTTGTGGGGCTGGATGAAGGTGATAATACTATTAAGGTAGCACGTACTATGAAAGAGGCATTCAAAATTATTTAATATAAATCTTACCTCTACCTTCAAAATTAGCCTAAAATGGCTAATTACATGTTGAAATCAGATATTAAGGAGCTGAAATATTATGCTTGTAAGTTAGTAAAATTTCTTCTTCCACCATATCTCTCTACCTGTAATATCTTTTCTTTACTTTTTTCTTTTTCTTGAACTCTGGGCCTGGGTGCTGTTGCTCAGTTCTTCAGCTCAAAGCTATCACTCTACCACTTGACCCATAGTGCCACTTCTGGTTTTCTGGAGGTTAATTGGAGGTGAGTCTCATGGACTTTCCTGCCCAAGCTGGCTTTGAACCTTGATCCTCAGATCTCAGCCTCCTGAGTAGCTAGGATTACAGGCATCAGCCACTGATGCCCAGCCCGTAATTGTCTTTAAAAACAAACATTCTATATAGTGTGTATGATTGGTCAAGATTTCTAGGTACTAATGGGGTCTGATTGATTTTTGCATTCCACCTGTGACCTGTCAGGCCTGTGAACTTTGAGGGAGTAATAAAACCTTAATGTTGTAGTTTCTATAATATGTAAATTATTTTGTGGTTGACTGCTACAGGTTTGTTTTAAAATATTCTGGCTATCATTAAGTATTTTTTCTTTATACTTTGGAGAGTAAAAATAGTTGTAAACAATTTGACTACAATTTGTGTTGTTGCAGTTAAACCGTATGAAAAGATGACACTTTCAGAGTTGAAAGAAGCTGAAGATGATTTTGATGAAGAAGATATGAGAGCTATTGAAATATACCGGTACAGTGCTGTGTTACTTATGAATTGCTGAGTAAGAAATTGAGTGGTAATCTTATTAAGGATCTCTTATTTGTAATGACTTGCTTCTCCTTTTGCTTTTTCACCATTTATGATATAACACAATGTAGGTATTATTGAATTTATCCTTCTTGGATTTTTGATTCATGTCTTTAATCAACTATGGCGAGTTATCAGGCTATTAGTTCTGAAAATATTCTTTCTTGCCCCTCCCCTCTGCTTCTGGGGTTACCACGATGAGTGTTTACCTGCTTAATAGTATCCTGTAGGTCCTTCAGGCTCTGTTTACTTTTCTTCATTTTCTTTCAGTGTGTGTGTGTGTGTGTGTGTGTGTGTGTGTGTGCTGGTACTTGGGCTTGAACTAGGTTTGGCCACTGTCTCTTAGCTTTTTTTGATGAAGGCTACCACTTGAGCCACAGCTTCACTTCTAGCTTTTTGGTGATTAATTGGAGATAAGAGTCCATGGATTTTCCTGTTTGGGCTGGCTTTGAACCAAGATTCTATGATCTCAGCCTCCCAAATACAATTAATTACAGATGTGAGCCACCAGCACCCAGCTCTTCATTTTTCTTCTGTTATCCCAGACTTAAATATTTGGAAAAATCTTATCTTCAAGTATGCTGATTCTTTCTTTTGTTTGCTCACATCTGTGACATTCCAGAATATTTTCATATCAGTTTTTAGTTCCAGTAGTATATTTTTACTTGTACCATTTTTTACATAAAATGAGTACTATTTTTATCTCCCACAAATTTTCAGTTTTCTAGATATGAGATTGCTATCTTGAAATTCAATTCCATTCTGACATTAATAAACACATTTAGGAAAGACCCCGAGAGATCACTTCATACCCACTGGAGTAATAATTCAAAAGACAGACAAACATAGTTGTGAGAAGATGGAGAAATTAGAACCCTTGTAATAGCTAGTGAGAACGCAAAGTTGTACAGCTTGAACAGACATTCTGGAAGATCCTCAAAATGCAGTTATTATATGATCCAACAATTCTATTCTTATGTACCCACGAGGTTTAAAAATACAAAGGATGTATAGGAAGTTTCATGGCAACATTATTTACAATAGCAAGAAAGCACAAAGTCCATCTAGGAGTATAAAGTGAAAAGTAGAAAATGAATAGAATAGTAGAAAGTGAATGTCCATCAACTGATAAATAACTAAAAAATGCCATACATATTCAGTGGAATATTACTTGGCTATAAAAGGCCATGATGTACTATGACTATGTTCTACAATATGGTTGAACTTTGAAAACAAGAAAAGAAACAGTCACTAAAATGTATTTTTTTAAGTAGATTCTTGGATACCAAATCCTGGAAGTGATTAATATGCTTTTTAACTTTTACAATTATATTTTCTTTAAGTAATTTCTCAACTTTTTGATCCACACTCTACAGTTTTATTTTTCAGGCAATGGCTATGGCCTGAGTACTTCTCATTAGAGATTTCATTATTTTAGAACCCTTTACTTCCGGTTTGTGACTCTGGGATATAGAGGATTACGCAGGACTTTTTAGGAAGGAGCCATCAAAATGGATGAATCACTTTCATATCTCTTCCTTTGCCTGTAATTTACTCCTATAATCCTCTGCAAAGGAAGTTGGCTTCTGTGAGCCTCAGTTAGAGGAAGTTACAATCACACTCTAGGTCCTGACCAAGCTCAAGACTAGATAAACAAACAGTAATATTAAAGAAAACCCAAGCTGGGTGCTGGTGGCTCACACCTGTAATCCTAGCTACTCAGGAGGCTGAGATCTGAAGGATCGTGGTTCAAAGCCAGCCCAGGCAGGAAAGTCTATGAGATTTTTATCTCCAATTAACCACCAGAAAAAGCAGAAGTGGCTCTGTGGCTCAAGTGGTAAAGTGCTCACCTTGAACTGAATTGCTGAGGGACAGCACCCAGGCCCAGAGTTCAAGACCCACAACTGACCAAAAAAAAAAAAAAAACAGAAAAGAAAAGAAAACCCCAAAACCCAAATTCTCTTCGTGTTGATCATTTGCTATGGAATAGCAAATGAATCAAGCCAGTAGCTCTTATAGCTAAATGACGTAGAAAAATCAATGTAGCCATAAACATATTTACAGTCTATATTTTGTGGTGAATATACTAAATTGACTTCCTTGACCTGTGTTCCTCTTCCTTCTGGTGTGGCACAATACTGCTGAAGCTAAAAAGCTGGTCCTAGTGGAGCTGTGGGTCAAGTAGTAGCGTACCAACCTTGAGCAGAAATTCAGGACCTTTATCACTTAGACTATATTGAAGCAAGGACCATGTTTTGGATTCTGTTGAACATTCACAGGATATTTAATTTAGCACTGAGTTAAGTGGAGAAAGAAGTAGTAACACAAAGCAACCATTTAGATGGTATTAGTCTAGAATTTGCTTCATGGTTTTTGAGACATTGTTCTGGAAGAAGTCTTTTATCCTTGGATTGTTGCTAGGGAGATAAGTTTCTAGAATCAACATTTGTTCCTGTGACTTTCTCAGTGTCATAGTAATTTAATACTTGGGCGAACAAGTAGCAGAGCAATTCCAGATTCCCCAGTTTCTACATTGCAGCAAATGAAGCCTGGGCCGACCAGTTTTGCAATGATGGCTTGGAAGTAATTCCTGGTTGCCCAGCCTAGAGCCTATTCCTGTCTGTCCTATGAATCTGCAAAGCACTTAATTCCCATATTAAGCTCTTTTCTACTTAAAAAATAGCCAGAAGGCTATGGGTTTATGCCACTGAATCTTAACTGATAGTGATTGTTTGGTAAAAAATAGAGGCTTGTGAACACTGTGTGACTTCCTGCTGGCAAAATGAACCCATGTGTTTATATCTGTCCCCTGCCCAATTCCAATGAAATGACAAAGAGAAATGAGGAGAAGGAGGTGATGGGAGGAGCTAGAGAAGTAGTTGATGGTTGCACCATTAAGTAGGGCATGTTGTCATCTTTGGAACAAGAATATCTTGAAGTTTCTGAGTGATGGTAACCTAGGGTAACCTAATCAATCAAATTGAGGAAAATTAAGGATAGTAACTGTAAATATGCAGTACAAGGTAGGGAAAAAATACTGAAGGCCCTCAGTTTGAAAACTCTGAGAAAGCCTACCCTGTATTTTTTCTCAGTGTTCTCTTTAGGCTCTATTTTATGTGAATCAATTGTCACATAAAAAGAGGTGTTTCTAATATGGCATGTTTCCGACACGTAAAACAAGGTCAGAGTGTTTTGTTTATTGTTTTTGTGCTGGGCCTACGTCTTGAATTCAGGACCTGGGTGCTGTCTATGAGATTCTTTTTCTTTTTTTTGGATTTTTTTTAATTGTGAAAATACCGTGCAGAGGAGTTACAATTACATGGGCAAGATAACGAGTACATTTCTTATCAAACATTGTTGCCTCCTTGTTGTTTCCTCTTCCCATCCCTTCCCATACTCCTCTCCTCCCTCCACCTGATCCTCCCCCTAACCCCCAACAAAGTTGTTAAGTTCGTCTTTCAAAATAACGACTTGTACATCTTATTGTTGCAATGGGTCCACCTGTATCCCTAGTTAAACAATATGTTTTTTTTTCCCATCCCCTCCACAAATTATACCAACATCAAATACAGTGAAAGTATGGGTTATACTGTGGGGGAGGGACATACAAAGCAGCATAGAAATCATCTTATAAATATGATAGAAACAATTGCATGAAAGGAAAAAAACATTTGAATATTTATCTTGGGGTTCATTCCACTAATATCAACTTATCTGACCTTTTCTGTTTGACTCATACATATACTAGTTATTGCAAATAAGGGAAACCATGGGACCTATGTTTCTTTGGGCCTGGCTTACTTCACTTAATTTTTTCCAAGTCTTTCCATTTCCTAACAAATGGGGCAATGTCATTCTTTCTGATAGAGGCATAGAATTCCATTGTGTATATATACTACATTTTCTT